ACCCCCCGACCGGGCCCTCAACTCCCCACGGCAAACCCTAAACCCTAAACCCTAAACCCTTGGTCCTAGAAGGGCGCGGAGAGAAGGAGGGCTGGCTGGGCGGCGGCAGCGAAGAAGAAAAGTGGAAGACAGAGAAAAAGACTTTTTGAATGTTTGCAGGTGTACAGACACCCCAGAAAAGCGCGAAATGGAGGGGGAAAAGCCGCAAAAAAGAACTAAAAAGAATTAAAAACTTTGAAGGAATAAAAAGAATTGCAAATAAAAGGGATTAAAGACTTTAAAGGAGCAAAAGGAGTTGCAAAAAGGCGAAAAGAAGGCGGACGGGAGGCAGCGCATGCAGCAGCGGGCTGCGTGGTCTCGGGGAGGTCGGATTTGCGCGAATTGGAGCTTAAAATAGATCTAAAAAGAAAAATAAATGGAAAAAAGTGTTTTAAAGATGTTTAATAGTCCGAAAAAGGTTTATTTCAAAGAAAAAGAGGAAAATGAAGGGCCGGGAGGCGGCGGGTGGACCGCCAGGTGTTGGTGCTGAGGTGTACATACACCTCGCGAGTCGCAGCGCGCTGCAGCAGCAGCAGCAGCAGCAGCAGCAAATTAGAACTTTTCGCGGGGCAATTGGCAGTTGTTTGTGGAAAATAAAGTGGAAACTTGTCGAAAAGTCGCACTTGTTGTCCTTTTCTGTCTGCAGCAGCAGCAAAACTCGCGGCTCTCCTCCCGCTGCAGCTGCAGCAGCAGCAGCAGCAGCAGCAGCTCCACTCGCCGTCTTTTTCTTTTCTTTTCCTTTTCTTTTCCCTTTTTTCTTTCTTTTTTCCTTTTCCAAACTTCCGACTTTTCGCCAAACTTGGCGCTGCAGCAGAGCCGGCTCTGCCGCTGGGGTGTACGTACACCCCAGCCTCCACTCCCGCCAGCCCCCGCCTCTTCGCCGAGACTCCTTTTTGCTGCCTTCCCTCTTCCCCGCTGCTGCTGCTGCTGCTGCTGCTGCTGTTGCTGCTGCAGCAAGAGGCCTCTCTTGTCTTCCCCCGGGCCTCCAGTCCTCCCCGACTCGCAGCTCTCCCAGCCGCAGCTGCTGCTGCTGCTGCTGCTGCTGCTGCTGCTGCTGCTGCTTGCTGCGCTGCAGCAGGGTCTGCGGCGTCGGTGCGCGCCCCCGCGTGTCTGCGCGTCCGGAGCCCCCAGCGCCAAACCCTAAACCCTAAACCCTAAACCCTAAACCCTAGCAGCGCAGCAATGTGGCCCTTCGCCCCCACTTCTTCAGCAGCTCTAAACCCTAAATTCAGGGAAGTCTACACTTGTGTCTTCGGGCCAAATGGCCCGGAGTATAGTTTGCAGGGGGTACTGGATGAGTCCCCTGGGGGCCCCTGGGGGGCCCCCCACTGGGGGCCCCCCCAGGGGCCCCTGTCGGGGGGCCCCCCGGCGAGCCCGGGGGGGGGCCCCCCCAGCCGCATAAACTCGGCTTGTGCTGCAGAGTTTGGGGCCTCCTTCAGCGCAGCAGCAGGGGGCCCCCCTTCTGCTGCTGCTGCTGCTGCTGCTGCTGCTGCTGGGGGCACCAAGCGGCGGCTGGAAGCAGCTCTTAACAAAAGTGAGATGAAGCAGCAGCGGCTGTGCGGCATGTGGCACGTCGCGTAGCGCAGCGCAGTGTACAGACACCCCAGCTGCAGCAGCAGCAGCAGCAGCAGCAGCAGCAGCGGCGGCGGCAGCAGCAGCAGCAGCAGCAGCGGGAGCGCGTTTTCCGCTTTGCTGCAGCAGCTAGCCAGAGCTTCTGCAGCAAAGTGCGTTTCAAGTCCGCCTTCGAAGTGCCTGGCGGCGCTGGGGTGTACGTACACCCGAGCGCGTGTGTGGGGCGCGGGGTGTACGTACACCCGAGGCGGTGTGGGGCGCGGGGTGTACGTACACCCCGCGCCGCTCCTGTGCAGTAAAGGGCTCTTTTCTTCGCCACTTCTTTCCTAAAGTCTTTAAGTCCAAGTTGGCATTATTTGCATTTCTTTTCTCTCTTGTGGGGCCCCACAGCTGCGACTTTGCGCAGCAGCTGCTGCGCATGCGCTGCTCTCGGGTGTACGTACACCCCAGGCCCCCGCCGCTGCATGCAGGCGCACTCGCAAAGCCCCAAAATGTGCATCTTCGAGCTTGGGGGCTGCTGCTGCTGCTGCAGCAGCAGCAGCAGCAGCAGCAGCAGCAGCAGCAGCGGAGAGGCTGGAGGGTAAAGGGACAGCAGCACTTTTGCTTCCACTGCAGCAAAAGAGAAACTGTCTCTTGGGGGATGGGGGCTTTGCTGCTCCTGGTGCGCGCGCCTGCTGCTCAGGCTCCAGGAAACAAATTGCTGCTGCTGCTGCAGCAGCTGCTGCTGCAGCAACTGCTGCTGCTGCTGCAGCAGCAGCTGCTGCTGCTGCAGCAAAGAGTCTCGCGGAGGCAGTCGCTGTTGCCGCTCCGCGCGGCCCGTTGCCTTCAGTTCATTTTTCGGTTTCCGCCGCATGCAGGCAGACGTGAGCTGCTGCAGCAGAACAGATTACAGCTTACATTGACGGTTGGGATTTGCGCTAAGTATTAATATGTGTTTGGTCGCCCTTAGTGCATGCCGCCGTGCAGCTGCAGCAGCTGCAGCAGCAGCTGCTGCTGCAGCAGCACCAGCAGCAGCAGCAACGGCGGGGCCAGCAGCAGCAGCAGCTGCTGCTGCTGCTGCTGCAGGGCTGTTTGCTTGAGTTGGGGTTTGGCAATGCTGCCGGACTGCAGCAGAACTTGCGCTTCGTATTTTGTCTATTCGGTTTCAGGTGTACAGACACCGCAAGGTAGGTCTTTGACAGCTGCTGCTGCTGCTGCTGCTGCTGCTGCTGCAGCAGCTTTCCAAGTCAAAACCACACGCAGCAGCAGCTGGTGCTACTGCTGGCCCCGCCGTTGCTGCTGCTGCAGCTGCATGGCTGCTGCTGCAGATGCATGGCTGCTGCTGCAGCTGCATGGCTGCTGCTGCAGGAGCAGCAGCAGCAGCAGCAGCAGCAGAACAGAGCGGGCAGGGGCGAGGGAAATAAAAAAAGCCGGAGGCAAAGGCTAGTGTTTAATTGCATGAAATAAAATAAATTTAAATAATTTAGTTGCATTAAATGAAATTAAAAAGAAGAAAAGAAACTCTTCAGATTCAAAAGCCCTTACCGCACTTCCGCGCTTTCTTGAGGTGTACGTACACCTGAAGAAGGCTGCACTTTGAGCTCCTTCTTTGCCCTTTTGTGCTGCTCTTTTAGTGGCATTTTAATTGACTTTATTTAAAATTATTTAAAGAAACAAATCAAAGAATTGATTTGCCGAGAAGCTGCAAAATTCGACGGCTTTGCTGCAGCAGCAGCAGCAGCAGCAGCAGCGCTGGGGTGTACGTACACCCCAAACGCGCAGCCCGCGCCGGCTCGCCGCTGAGGTGTACGTACACCCCAGAGCTGCGCGTACACCCGAGAGCTGCAGCTCGGGGGCGGGGTGTACGTGCAGCTGGAGGGCCTGTGGGGTGTACGTACAGCTGGGGGGCCTGTGGGGTGTACGTACAGCTGGGGAGGGAGAGAGCAGCAGCAGCAGCTGCGGTGTACGTACACCGGAAGGCGGGCGCGCCAGCGGTCCGGCCGCTGCAGCGGCTGCGGGGGCGCCGCTGCTGCGCAGCAGCGGCGGCTGGGAGTTTTTTTGAAGATTAAAAAGAAATAAAATAAATAAAAAGAGTTTTTAAAAGAACTGAGCGGCAGAGAGGCGGCGAGGGAGCGGCAGAGGGCCCCACTGGCAGCAGCAGCAGCAGCAGCGGCGTGTTGCTGCAACAGCAGCAGCAGCAGCAGAGCTCCAGGCTCCGACAGCTCGCCCGCTGCTGCCAATGCTGCCCGGACTTCTTCTTCTGGACTTTTATTGAAAACTATTTTTTGTTTTTGTTTATTTGACCTTCTTGTGGAAAGAAATAGTTGAAAAGCAGTGTAGCAGCGCTGGGGTGTACAGGCAGCTCGCCGGGTGGCCGCAAGACCCACCAGCTGCCCGCCTCTTCCCGAGTAGCATTATTTCTTTTTTTTTGCAAATTATTTCTTTTTTTCAATTTATTTTCCAACTCAAGACTTCCTTTTCTCTTTTCTCCTCCCGATCCCGATCCCAGACCCCCCAGCCAGCCGCTGCAGGTCACCTGGGCGTTGCGGCTCTCGGGGGCCCCCAGGCCGCGGCCGCTGCGGTGTACAGACACCCCGCGGGGCTTCCCAGGGCCCAACGGGGGCCCCACTAAAGGGCCTCTGGGGGCCCCCGGCGCCCCGGGGGCTGCTGCTGCTGCTCCGCTGCTGCTGCTGCTGCTGCTGCTGCTGCTGCTGCTCGCCGTCTCTTTCCCCTTCTCTCTCCAGGGCCCCGGGGCCCCCTTGCGGCCCTTTGCTGCTCGCTGCTGCGCTGCTGCTGCTCCCCAGCTGTACGTACACCCCAAACTCCCCACACCCAGCAGCAACCCCACACATCATGGACCCTTTTCCCCCCGAGACAGACCCCCAGGCCCTGCTGCATGCAGCAGCCCCTGGGGGGCCCCCCGAGCTGCCTCCGCAGGAGGTGGGGGGCCCCCTGGGGGCCCCCCCGGGGTCCCCGGAGGCCCCGGGGGCCCCCGGGGCCCCCGGGGACTCCCTGGGCGCTGGGGCCCTCGGAATGCCCGGGGGGCCCCCGGGGCCCCTGGGGGGCCCCCAGGTAAGCCCGGGGGCCCCGGGGGGCCCCCTGGGGGCCCCCGGGGGGCCCCCCTGCCTAGACACTCCAGGGACCAGCGAAAGTGTGGGGCCCGCCTCTTCTTTAGGAGCTGCTTCGGGGGAAGGGGAAGAGGGGGGCCCCCTAGGGGGGCCCCCCTTGGGGGGGGGCCCCCTGGGGGGCCCCCCCCTGGGGGGGGGCCCCCTGGAGGCCCCCCAGGACCACTCGAAGCCGTGGGGCTTTTGCCCCGAGGAGGCCCCTGCAGCAGCAGCAGCAGCAGCAGCAGCAGCAGCAGCAGCAGCAGCAGAAAGGAGACAGGAGGAAGAAACAAACAGCCAAAAGCTGCAGCACTTTCGCTCGCTGCTGCACCGGCTTTCGAAGCAAAAGGACGGGCTGATGCCCAACCCCGGTGCGCAAACCCTAAACCCTAAACCCTAAACCCTAAACCCTAAACCCTAAACTGTAGCGCAGCGGCGGCTGCGCAGCTGCTGCTGCGGCTGGCTTTTTCGCGCAGCAGCTAAAACAATAAAATATAAATATGATTTTTATTTTTGAACTTTTATTTATTTTTATCTTTTTTTAATTGCATTATTATTAGTGTTTTCACATTCCCGCATGCATTTATATTTATCAATTTAAATAAATAAATAAAAATCCATCCCGCCCCTGCTGCTGCTGTTCCTGCTGCTGCTGCTGCTGCTGCTGCTGCTGCTGCTGCTGCTGCGCTGCTGCTGCTGCCCCCGCCTCCGCTGCTGCCTCTGCTGCGCTGCTGCTGCTGCTGCTGCTGCTTTCGCTGCTGCTGCGCTGCTTCCGCCGCTGCTTCCGCCGCTGCTGCCGCCGCTGCTGCCGCTGCTGCTGCTGCTGCTGCTGCTGCTGCTGCTGCTGCTGCTGCTGCAGACGGGTCCTTCCCCGCGGACTGGCTGAGTCTGGCCTGGGAGTTTCAGTCTTTGGCGGAGTTGGTGGTTCGCTCGGCCTGGCCTTGCTGCTACCCCGAGGGTTTGCTGCCTTGCGTTTCGGAGCAAATCGAGTACTTGAAGCGCCGCCTCGAGGTCCCAAACCCTAAACCCTAAACCCTAAACCCTAAACCCTAAACCCTGGGCGCAGGCGCTGCGGCGCTGGAGCCGCTGCGGGAGACGCGCTCCGCGCACTGCGCCCCTCCCCACGGGCTTCTGTCCGTCTCCCTAGAGAGCAAACCCTAAACCCTAAACCCTAAACCCTAAACCCTAAACCCTAGGCAGCGCCGCGCCCAGGCCCGCGGAGGCTCGCCCCACAAAGCTTGCTTAGGGTTTGCAGCCTCGAGGGTTTGGGGCTTCGCGGGGCTTGCTTGCGGGCGCGTTGCAGGGCGCGGGCCGCAGGGCTAGGGTTTAGGGTTTAGGGTTTAGGGTTTAGGGTTTAGGGTTTGTGGTTTTAGGAGTTTCCGGGGGCTTCTAGCGGCGAAAAAGACCGCTTTCAGCGGCTGTTTATTCTGGCGGCTTTGGGGATTATTGCGAAAATGAAATTAGTGACTTTTTGTTGGACTTTTGTGGAGTTGAGAAAAAAAGAAATGCATGCAGGAGCTTCGGGGCTTTCTCTGTACTTGTCGCATGCGCGGCAGAGTCCCGTGAAGGCGCGCCGCGTTGCTGCTGCTGCTGCTGCTGCTGCTGCTGCTGCGCACCCGGACCACGCTGCAGCAGCAGCAGCAGCAGCAGCAATGCCCCACCCCGATGTCGAACGCACCGAGTACACCACCCGCTCCGGCAGAAAGACCCACAGGACCCCCATGAAACCCGAGAAACTCTAGGGTTTAGGGTTTAGGGTTTAGGGTTTAGGGTTTAGGGTTTCGGGCTTGGAGGACGCTTTAGGGTTTGCGGTTCCGCTTCAGCCGCAGCAGCCAGCGAAAGAAAACTGCACAGTGGGCCTACCCGTTGGCTAGCTGGGCTAGCTAGCTAGCTAGCTAATGGCTAGCTCGCTAGCCAGCTAGCTAATGGCTAGCTAGCTAGCCACCCCAGCTAGCTAGCTAGCTAGCTAGCTAGCTGCTTTCAAATTATGGCATTCTTGTCTGTATGAATTGAACAGCCGCGAAGTGCGAGTAGCACAAACTTCCACTCTTTGCCACTCCATTTATTTCTTCAGTCCACCCTTGGGGGCCCCCCTGGGGGCCCCTGTGGGGCCCCCCTGGGGGCCCCTGTGGGGCCCCTCTTGGGGCCCTTTTGGGGCCCCTCTGGGGCCTCTTTTGGAGCCTCTTTTCGGGGCCCCTGGGGGCCCCCGTGGGGGCCCCTTGGGGCCCCCGTGGGGGCCCCCTGTTGTAGAGGCCCTTAAGGTTTTGGCTGGGGGCCTCGCGCTTCGTTTTTAAAAGGGTTTGTGGGCACCAAAGGGGGCCCCCAGAGCCTGTTTGGGGCCCCTTGGGGCCCCCACTACTCCAGAGGATCTCAGTAGGGGCCCCTGGGGGCCCCCAGGGGGCCCCCGTGGGGCCCCCAGGGGCCCCTACTGAGATTTCGGGGACCTTTTGAGGTCCGTGGGCCCCCCTTAGGGCTCTATATTGTCGCTATGGGGGCCCCCATGTCTTCTGGGGGCCCCTGGGGGGCCCCCGTATGTCTTCGTGGGGCCCCCCTGGGGCCCCCCGGGAGACCTTGGGGGCCCCCTAGGGCCCCTTGGGGGGCCCCTGTGGGTTTCGTGGGCTTTAAGGAGCTGTAGGTTGCAGAGGGAGTGTTTGCTTTAGGAGTCATTTATTTTTATTTGGTGGGAGACCATTAAATGTTTTTTATTTACTTGCTTCGTTGTTTGCAAAGCAGGGCCAGGGTTTAGGGTTTAGGGTTTAGGGTTTAGGGTTTAGGGTTTAGGGTTTAGGGCTCGCGGTGTGGAGCACGGGGCTGCAAATGGTGAGGCTGGGCTAAGAATTTAGGGAGTGGCCTCTAGGGTTTAGGGTTTAGGGTTTAGGGCCTAGGGTTTAGCACTCAGGGCCTAGGGTTTAAGTAGGGTTTAGGCTCTAGGAGCGCCCCTTGCTGTGCTAGCTACTGCCTGCTTGCCTGAAGGGCTAAGGGTTTAGGGTTTAGGGTTTAGGGTTTAGGGTTTAGGGGCTCGGGCGCGCGCTACGTCACTACTGAATTGAAGCCACAGTTCTTTGTGCTCTCCGCCGGGTGGCTAGCTGCGGAGCTAGCTAGCCAGCTAGCTGGCTCGCGAGCTAGCTAGCTGGCTAGCTGCCGAAGCAGCTAGCTAGCTGGCAGCTAGCTAGCCACGGGCAAGAGGCCTTGCTGGGCAGGGGCTAGCTGTGGGCCCCCAGCGGCTCTGGCCAGCTAGCTGGCCACAAGGGCAGCTAGCTGGGCAGCAAGCTAGCTAGCTAGCTTTCTCGCTCGCTGTGTGGCTAGCTAGCCAGCTAGCTAGCCAGACAGCTAGCTAGCCAGCTCGCAAGCTAGATCGCTACTTAGCCAGCTAGCCAGCCAGCCAGCTAGCCAGCCGGACAGCTAGCTAGCTAGCTAGCCAGACAGCTAGCTGGCGAGCCGGCGAGCGAGCTCGCCGGGCCGCTGGCTAGCTGGCTAGCTGGCTAGCTGGCTAGCTGGCTCTGTGGCTAGCTGGCTGGCTGGCTCTGTGGCTGGCTGGCTGGGTGGTGCGTGGCTAGCTAGCTAGCTAGCAAGCTGGCAGCTAGCTAGCTAGCTGAGGATTGCGGCGGTGGGGAGGGCCAAGTGGACAAAAACGAAAACGCAAATGCCAACGAGGGCCCCCAAAAGACACCCCACAAGACACTGGAGGCCCCTGTGGTCTTTGAGGTGGCAGCGGGCCCAGGGGAGGGGCCCCCAAGCAGCAAGGGCGAGGGCCCCCAGCAGCAGCCGCGCAGCAGCAGGTGCTGCTGCTGCTGCTGCTGCTTCGCAGCAGCACCAAGCCAGAAAGGCGAAAGACACGAAGCAGTGAGAAGAAGGCATTCCCTCGGACTTGGACAGAGACAGCGCAGGCCGCGGCTCCCGGTAAACCCTCTTCAGCAGCTGCTCGTTTGCTGCTGTCAGCAGCACCTGCAAACCCTGCAGCAGCAGCAGCAGCAGCAGCAGCAGCAGCAGCAGCAGCAGCAGCGGCAGCGGCAGCGGCGCGGGCGGGCGTGGGCTGGAGCTGCAGCAGCTGCTAGGGCGCTCGGGCGCGCGACGGGGAAGCGACAGACATGAAGGCGCTCTGGACTAGGGTTTAGGGTCTAGGGTTTAGGGTTTAGGGTTTAGGGTTAAGGGTTTAGGGTTTAGGGTTTAGGGTTTACTGCTGCGAAGAGGGGCAGCGTCTTGAAGGTGCAGAGAGCAGCGGCGGCGACAAAAACGAAAAAGAAAAAGGGAAAGAAGCTGTAGGCAAGAGCAGCAACTTTGGCTGCATCGAAGGGGCCCCTAATGGTGACAGACAAAAGAGAAATCCCGTTGCTGCTGCTGCTGCTGCTGCTGCTGCTGCTGCTGCTGCTGCTGCTGCTGCTGCTGCTGCTGCTGGGGCCCTCCTCCAGGTCCTTCTCGGTCCGCAGCAGGTACTCCCGCACCCCCAAAACGCTAAACCCTAAACCCTCAAACCCCAAACCCTCAAACCCTAAACCCTTACGAAGCCTCCCCGCCAGCCCCGCCGCGGGGGCCCCCCCCGGCGCTGCCAGCGGGGAGCTCTCTGTGGGGGCCCCCAGGGGGCCCCCCTGGAGGGGCCCCCCGGAGGGGGGCCCCCCGAGGGGGGCCCCCTTGGCAAGGGGGGCCCCCCCCAGGGGGCCCCCAGCAGGGGGGGCCCCCGCAGGGGCCCCCGCGAAGCAGATGGGGGTGCTGCTGCCCGTGGAGGGGCCCCCGGAGTTGCTGCCGTAGGCGCAGAAGGCGGAAGCCGGGAGACCCTTAGCTGCTGCTGCTGCTGCTCCTGCTGCTGCTGCTGCTGCTCCTGCTGCTGCTGCTGCTCCTGCTGCTGCTGCTGCCTTGGGTGTCGCCAGGGGCGGCAGGTAAGGCAAGTAGCAGGGAATCGTGGGGGTCCAGGCTTCCGCCATTGTGGGGGGGGAAGCAGAGGAAGGAGCAGCAGGAGGTCTGGGGTGTACGTACACCTCAGGGGGGGGCGGCGGAGGCGGAAGGCACACTGACACTCCGGAAAAAAACATTTATCAATTAATAAATAATCAATAAATGTTTGTTTTTATATTTGTGGCCAAAAGAGGCCTTTAACGCCGCAGCTGCCGACACCTGTGGGGCCGCGGCTGCGGAGGAGGTCACCTGGGTGGCGGCGTTCGGGTGTACGTACACCCCGTGAGCCCTCCTCGAAACGCGAATCTTTTCTCCAAATAAACCCGCCAAATGCACTTCATTATATTTATTTCAGTTAATTATTTAAGTTTTTTGAGAATAAATAAAGAGAAAAGAACGCAGCGGCAGTAAGGCGACAACACCCGGGAATGGTCCGGTGCACGACAGCTGAGGTGTACGTACACCGCAGCAGGAGGCAGATCGACCTAAAGCTCCGGTTTTTCGATTATTCAAAAGAGTAAATTCAAATAAATAAAAATAAATTTAATTAAAAGATTAAATTAACTCAAATTTAATTTATTTCGTCTCTGAACTCCGCGAAAAACGTCAAAGTCACGCAGCGCCGCGCCTCCCCCCTAACCACCACCACCGCGCCTTCGCCTTCGACGGAAATTAACATTTTTAAAACCCTTAAATGGAAATAAACATTTTAAAAACTTTCAAAAATATAATTAAACTTAATTGGACACATTTCACAGGGCCAGAACCCTTTGCGAAAAAGATTTCCAAAAAATGCTCCGCAAAAAATAGTGCAGTTTGACCCCCTCGTTTGGGGTGTACAGACAGAGCTCTGCAGCAGCAAGCATGGAGGAGATGTGCAGCACTTGAGGCTCCCACCAGCTTTTAAAAGCAGCAGCCCACTGGCTAGCTGTAGCTAGCTGTGCCTCCAGGCAGCTAGCCAAGCCCTAGCTAGCCAGAGCAGGACGGCTAGCTTCAGCTAGCTGCAGCTAGCTAGCTGCAGCTAGCTGCAGCAGCTAGCTGCAGCAGCTAGCTGCAGCAGCTAGCTGCACACTCCTTTGGCTGCATGCAGCTCTTGCCGTCCAGACGCATGCAGCTTGAAAGCCCTGACTCTCCATCTAGCTTGCTGGCTAGCTGCCCAGCTAGCTGATTAGCTGGCCATCCAGCTAGCTGACTAGCTAGCCACCCACCCAGATGGCTAGCTAGCCACATAGCTAGCTGGCTAGCTAGCCGTTCAGCTAGCTGGCTAGCTAGCCACTCAGCTGACTGGCCAATTAGCAACAAAACTAGCTGGCTAACTAGCCACTCAGCTAGCTGGCTAACCAGCCGCATAGCTAGCCGGCCAGCCAGCCGCCCAACTAGCTGGCTAGCTGGCTACACGGCTAGCTAGCTAGGCAGTGCACAGCTAGCTAGCGGAGCCTCCCCGCACTACCAAAATTGCTTTCTAGGCAACACTTCAGAACCCCACGCCCAACCCTAAACCCTAAACCCTAAAACCCTAAAGTCTAAACCCTAAACCCTAAAACCCTAAAGTCTAAATCCTAAACCCTAAAACTCTAAAGTCTAAACCCTAAACCCTAAGCTCTAAACCCTGAAACCTATGATCTAGACCCTAAACCCTAAGCTCTAGACCCTAAACCCTAAGCTCTAAACCCTAAACCCTAAGCTCTAAACGCTAAACCCTGAAGTCTAGACCATAAACCCTAAACCCTAAAGTCAAAATCCGAAGTCCTAGGCTCTTAGCTCTAACCCCTAAGCTCTAAACCCTAAATTTTCAGTGCTAAACCCTGCACCCTAAACTCCACACCCTAAACCCTAAACCCTAAACCCTAAACCCTAAACCCTAAACCCTAAACTACGTGTTCTATCAGAGACAGCGGCGACACATTTCTCATGTCGGAATTTCTTGAAGCCCTGAAGGCTTTGTTTCGGGAGGGAGCGTCGCCCAAAATAGCTGCGCCTCCCGCAAACCCTAAACCCTAAACCCTAAACCCTAAACCCTAAACCCTAAACCCTGGGGTTTGGGGGCAGGCCCGTGGGGTCGCCGCATATCTGGCCGGGGCCGGCGCTGGTCCGTTTTAGGCCTCGGCCTTCACTCGCGTTTCCGCTGGGCCCTAAACCCTAAACCCCAATCCGCGGTTTGCGGCGCTGCTGCTGCTGCTGCTGCTGCTGCTGCTGCTGCTGCTGCTGCTGCTGCAGCGCCGCACTAGCGTCAGCCCCCCCCGCGGCCATATCTTGCTGCTGCACTTGGCCGCCAGGGTTTGGGCTGAGTTGCTGCAGGCCCGTGGCGGGAAATGCGGCCCCTGTGTTCTGGGCGAATGCCTTCTCCTGCTGCTGCTGCTGCTGCTGCTGCTGCTGCTGCTGCTGCTGCTCGCTGCATCTCCTCGTACGCAGCAGTGCTCTTAAACGCCTCCATCTCGGCCTCCAAAGCAGCCGCGTGCCGAGCCCTTCCACAGACAAAACGCGCAAACCCTAAACCCTAAACCCTAAACCCTAAACCCTAAACCCTAAATCAGGGTCTTGCTGGCCTTAAAGCCAAGAACTAAAGACGAGCATCTAAACACGAAGAGAGAAAGACAAATAAAAGATATGAAGTAGCCGCTAGCTAGCTGCCTAGCTAGCCAGCAATAGAGCCAGTCTTACGCCTGGCTAGCTAGCTAGCTAGCTAGCTAGCTAGCTAGCTAGCTAGCTAGCTGGCTACTTGGGTGGAGGAGTACTCCCTCATCTCGTTGGCTGCCTCTTCGTCTAGCCGGCTAGCTAGCTGGCTAGCTAGCGGCCAACTGAATGGAGAGTTATTTGCCAGCTATCTGGCTAGCTATTTGGCTAGCCATCTGGCTAGCTGTCTGGCTACCCAGCGGCTAGCTAAACGGATAGCTAGCTAGCTAGCTAGCTGGCCACCCATCTAACTACCTGGCCAGCTATCTGGCTGGCTGGCTAGCTAGCTGGCTGGCCAGCCAGCCAGCCAGGTGCACTGCCAGCCACACATCTGGCTAGCTAGCCAGCTAGCTAGCCAGATAGCTACTAGCTAGCTAGCTAGCTAGATAGCTAGCTAGCTGGCTAGCTAGCTAGCTAGCTAGCTGTGCAGAGACCCACCGCGCCTCCCTTAGGCGCCTGAGGCGCTGTTCCTCCTCTTCTTCTCCGCGACGGCGGCCCCAAGCATCTCCAGCCCTGCAGCATCCGCAAACCCTAAACCCTAAACCCTAAACCCTAAACCCTAATTGCTAGACCCTTGGCAGTCGACTGCATGTCTGCGCGTCAACCCCAGGGGAAGAAACAGAGAAAAGACAGCAGCAGCAGCAGCACAACTCCCTGCAGCGCGAGGGCCGAAACCACTGCAGCAGCAGCAGCAGCACAACCAGCAGCAGCAGCAGCAGCAGCAGCAGCACCGCCGCACCCAGCGTCGCTGCACTGGCAAGGCCTGCAGCGGCGCAGCAGCAGCAGCAGCAGCAGCAGCAGCAGGCCTCACTTGAAGAGCAGGTAAAGAAGAGCAGCAGCAAGAAGGCCTGCAAGCAAAGAACTGAAAGGGGGGAAAGAAAAGGCAGCAGGGGCCTCTTGAGAGTCCTCCATTGGCTCAGGTGTACGTACACCCCGGCCCCGTGTTCATTATTTCTTTAAAAAGAAAAGAAATTCAAAAAATAAATTGCTGCTTCCGCGCCTGCTGCTGCTGCTGCTGCTGCTTCTGCTGCTGCTGCCCTGAAAAAAGAAAGACAGTGGGGGAGGCGCTGGGGTGTACAGGCAGCTGCGCGAGCCCGGGTGTACGTACACCCCAAGCCTGAGACAGGATCTGCGGCGAACTGGCCGGTCCGTTTGTCAATTTTGAAAATTAAATTAATTTAATTTTAAAAAATGAAGTGAAGAGCAGGCGCGGCGAGCGGAAGCGAGACGCAGCAGCAGCAGCAGCAGCAGCAGCAGCGCGGCAGCAGCAGCAGCAGCAGCAGCTCTGCTGCGCGCGGGTAGACCTCCGCTGCGCAGCTACGAAAGACTCAAACCAACACAAAAAGCAATTAATTAAACTTGAGAATATTTTTAGGGTTTGTTGCTGCTGCTGCTGTTGCTCTCGGCCGCGGGTTTTGGGGCTGCAGCCCGCAGCAGCAGCAGCAGCCGCCGCAGCAGCAGCAGCAGCAAAAGCCGCCGCAGCAGCAGATCCAGCAGCAGAGGCAAACCCTAGCACGCGAGTTTGAAGGTAGAAACGGGGTTTACTTGCTGGGCTGCTTGGGTTTTTCAAACGCCAAACCCTAAACCCTAAACCCTAAACCCTAGGCCGCAGATCCGGGGGACCCACTTCCCGGGTGTACAGACACCTGGGCCGAGTGGGGGCCCTCCTCTTTTTGTTCGGCCGCAGCAGCAAGAAAGAGAAAATAAAGCAGCAGCAGCAGCAGCAGCAGCAGCAGCGGGCGCGGAAGCAGCAGGGGCAACGGCGGAGCAGCAGCAGGGGGGACCCGCAGCATCACCTGCAGCTGCAGCAGCAGCAGCAGCAGCAGCAGCAGCAAGGCAGCAGCAGCAGCAGCAGCAGCGAAGCAAACAGCTGCAAATGTCTCGGCGCAGGGGCACCCCCGGGGAGGGGCTGCAGGACATGAGGGACCGCGAGGCCCGCGAGACCCCCAGCAGCAGCAGCAGCAGCAGCAGCAGCAGCAGCAGCAGCAGCAGCAGTCGCGGAGCTGGCCGCAGCAGCTCGGACAAGAAGTCTGCGGGCCACTCGCACAGCAGCAGCAGCAGCAGCAGCAGCAGCAGCAGCAGCGGGAGCCGGAGCCGGCACTGGGGCGAGGGGAGCGAGTGGCCGCAGCAGCAGCAGCAGCAGCAGCAGCAGCAGCAGCAGCAGCAGCGGCGGCGGAGCCGCAGCGAGAGCCGCGGGGAGCGGGAGCGGAAGTACCGGGATCGGGATCGGGATCGGGAAAGACCGCGGGATCGGGATCGCCTGCGGGATCGGGATCGGGATCGGGATCGGGATCGACGGCGGGGGGAGCGGCCGCGGGAGGCGGAGTGGGAGCGGCCGCGGGATCGGGATCGGGATCGGGATCGGGAGGAGCGCAGCAGCAGACGCCGCGAGGAGCTGCTGCTCAGCTGCACTGCAGCAATCCAGGGAGTTCCTGCTGCAGCAGCAGAAGAAGAAGTCGAAGAAGCTGTTCGGACTTTGGCAATTTTAAAAAGATTTTCGACTCCCGACTCCGTCCGCATGCAAGTCTGCGGTGTACGTACACTCCAGGCCCTCTGCCCCCCCGCCCCACACGCCCACGCGGAGCTGCTGCAGCAGCTGCTGCTGCCCCCCGCGGCGCCAGACAAGGACCCCCCCCAGCAGCAGCAGCAGCAGCAGCAGCAGCAGCAGCAGCAGCAGCAGCAGCAGCTGCGGGTGGCCTTCGTGGACTTCCCCTCCACCGACGCTGCGCAGAAGTTCGTCAAGAGCTGCAGGGGCGAAGTCTTTCCCTTCAAGGGCCGCAACTGTCCCGTGGCGGTGCTGCTGCAGCAGCAGCAGCAGCACGACGCAGCAGCAGCAGCAGCAGCAGCAGCAGCAGCAGCAGGCGCGGCCCCCGAGGGCTCGGCCGCCTCCGACTGGATCTGCGGCGTCTGCGGCGCGCCCAACAGCGCCGCCGCCGCCGCCGCCGCCAGCAGCAGCAGCAGCAGCAGCAGCAGCAGCAGCAGCAGCTGCTGCTGCTGCAGCGCCTGCGGCGCCGCGGGGCCCCGGGGGGCCCCCGACAGCCGCCCCAAAGAACCCGGCGGGGGCTGGGCCTTCGAGGGGCCCCCAAACCCTTCCTCTCTTTTGGTGGTTTCGGATTTGCTGCTGCTGGACTGGGAGGAGCTGCTGCGGCTGCTGCGGCGCAAGCTGCGCCGCAGCAGCAGCAGCAGCAGCAGCAGCAGCAGCAGCAGCGCAGCAGCGCAGCAGCAGCAGCAGCAGCAGCAGCAGCAGCAGGAGATCCAGGGCTGGGTGCTGGTCAAAGACGCCGCGGGCGCCGTCCGCCCCGACGGCTTCGCTGTGCTCAAGCTGGGGTGTACGTACACCGCAAAAGAGGCCTGGCGGCTGCTGCGCAGCTGTCGAGACACCCCAGTGGGCAAACAGATTTGTGGGGTGCGGCCCTGGATCATGAGCAAGGACCAGGAGAAGCACTGGGCCGAGATCGTCACTGTTGCTGCCAGCAGCAGCAGCAGCAGCAGCAGCAGCAGCAGCAGCAGCAGCGGCAGCAGCAGCAGCGGCAGCAGC